CATGAGGGCTCTACCCTCGTGACCTAATCACCCCACTTCCCAAAGGCCCTGCCTCCTAATACCGTCACTTTGGGGGCTAGTATTTCAACATATGACTCTGGGAGGGGGGAAGGAAACATTTAGACTATAGCAGATGGGACAGCATACCATGAAAGGGGCAGCAGAGGGTGTGGAGTCCAGAGCCAGCCGCCAGATGCAGTGCCAGGAATCAGGGAAGCCTTCCTGCAGGGGCGCGGTGCTTGGTGCTTTTGCTGAGTCTTGATGCATAAGGAGAAGTCAGCCAAATGGACAGGGTGAAGGAGGGTGGCCTACCGTGAGCAGGGTGCCCAGGTTCCAACCACGAGGCACTCCCTGCTCAGACACAGGGAAAAGTAAGGCTACATGAGGCCCCCCACTGTCCCCTCCTCAGAACTCTGTTCCATAAACACCTGTCACAGGCTCCTGGGCCCTTTCTCAGATCCAAAGACAAAGAAAACATTACCTTCACAAAGCCTGCAGACAGGACAGAAGGCCTTTTTGGGGTTCATTCACTTTCATGCAGGAAAAAAGTATTATTTTTTTCTCTGAATAGCAACCTTGCTGTGAAATTGTTACTCAGTTTTCTTATTAAGTTTAACAAACCCTTCCTGAAACTTGAAAACTATTTGAACCCAGTTTTTCTTGCAATTAAAAAAAAAAAAACTAGCAGGAAAATAAATAAGACAGACACAGAAGGACAAATACTGTATGATCCCACCTATATGAGATACCTAAGGTAGTCAAGTTCATGGAGACAGGAAGAAGAACCGTGGTCGCCAGGGATGGGGGAGAGGGGACTGGGGAGCTAGTGTTTAATGAGTATGAAGTTTCAGTTTCATATTCCCAGAAGTTCTGGGAATAGATAGTGGTGATGGTCGTACAACAACGTAAATGTACTTAATGCTGCTGAGCTGTATATTTAAAAAATGATTAAAATTGTCAATTTAGTCTATGCATATTTTGTCACAACTAAAAAAACAATCAGGGGGCCGGGCGCAGTGGCTCACGCCTGTAATCCTAGCACTTTGGGAGGCCGAGGTGGGCGGATCACAAGGTCAGGAAATCAAGGCCAACCTGGGTAACATGGTGAAACCCTGTCTCTACTAAAAATACAAAAAAGTTAGCCAGGCATAGTGGCAGGCACCTGTAGTCCCAGATACTCGGGAGGCTGAGGCAGCAGAATGGCGTGAACCCGGGAGGCAGAGCTTGCAGTGAGCTGAGATCACACCACTGCACTCCAGCCTGGGCAACAGAGCGAGACTCTGTCTCAAAAAAAAAAAAAAAAAAAAAATCAGGGAGGTAATACTTTCCCCAGGACAAATCTCCAGGCCTCTCTAAAACAGTTTTCTCATCTGTAAAATGGGGGGGAGAAATCCATTCCCCCCATTCTTTTGTTGTTGTTTTTCTGCAATAGGGTCTTACTCTGTTGCCCAGGCTGGAGTGCAGTGGTGCCATCTTAGCTCACTACAGCCTTGACCACCCAGGGCTCCAGCGATCCTCCCACCTCAGCCTCTCGAGTAGCTGGGACTACAGGCGTGCACCACCACCCCCAGCTACTTTTTTGTAATTTTTAGTAGAGAGAGGGTTTCACCATGTTGCCCAGGTTGGTCTCGAACTCCTGAGTTCAAGCGATCTCCCCACCTCAGCCTCTCAAAGTGCTAGGATTACAGGCATGAGCCACCGTGGCCAGCCCATTCCTCCCTATTCTTTGAGCTTGGTAGGGAGAGAGAATCCGTGCCTTTGTTTTCTGCCAGGTCACGAAAGCATTTTCCAAATGATACTTTACAAAAAAAAAAAAAAACTAAAGAGAAATTAAAATGGAACTAAATATTGATATACAAAAGCACAAAATGGCCCCATATCTAGAGGGTCAATTCCTGGATGGACAGGAGGCTGGAGGTTGTATTGCACGAGAGAAGGAGGTTGCCCAGAGTACACAGCAATGGAGCTGAGCCGGTCTCGGTCTCCTCCCCCAGCCCTAAGTCCTCTTTCCCCAGCCATAGGTCCCCAAACCCTTAAGAGGGTATGTGGCTTCTGCCATGACACCTGTGTCCCATTCCCTTTGCCTGGCCAAGTCCATGCATCTTGCTTTCTTCTGGAAGTCTTTGCCAGATAAGATGCTCCTTCCGTGGGTTGAGTCAGCACCCTCTGTTGGGGAAGGTCCATGGAGCCCCTGCCTCTCTCCTGCATCTCTGTAGCTTAAGAGTCAAGCGTCTGGCTCTGGAGCCAGATGTCTGACTTCAAGTATCCCACTTACTAGCTGAAGGACCTTGGGCAGACTTTTAACTTCAGTTTCCTTCCCCATAAACAAGGATGATAATAGTGTTTACGTTATGCAGTTACTGTGAAGGTCAGATGAATTCATTCATTCAAAGGGCTGGGAAGAGTGCCGGTGCCGGTGAACACTTGGGAGATGTTAGCTCTTCCGTGTACTGCCTCAGGACCCCTGCACCTGCACGCACTGAGTGCTCCTACCTGTTTGCTGAATTTTCCCAATCGGGGAAATAAAGGCAGTCACAGCACAGTCTTGGGGGTGGGGGCTCTGGCTTATGGGTTCCCTTCTCAGGCTTCACATTTATACAGCTGTGAAGGACCAGGACCACACCTGCCCTGTCTGGTATCTCCTGAGGAAATGGTAGGGGGATATCCTCAAAGCCCCCCTCCCCATTTTATTCCTATAACAGCCTGGCCCAGCCCAGCCCTGCCATGGAAGGAGCGGGCGATGTGGTCACAACAGGACCATATGGGGACCTGCCCCTTGCTATTTCTCACTATTTTGGGCTAATCTGTTGACATGACAACCAGGCTTTTAGACCCTGCCCCCCAGGGCTCTGTTTCCATCCTTACACTTGCGTTCTGCGTGACACAGCCTCCATTTACCAGCTGCCTCCGTGGTTGGAGGGGCAGAGTCACAGATTCTGCAAGACCCCCTCCCCTTAACAGCTAGAGCAGGCAGCAGGTGAGACCTCCCACCGGCATCCCTACTCCCAATATGCATGGGAACTGGCAGCTCCCCTCCCCAAAGCCTGCAAGCCTTAGGCAAGCACAGAGGGAGGTCAGGCAATCACCTAGAAGCTTTGCATGAAACCCCAGGGCTGACTCACCTTCCCCAGCCAGGAGCTGATAAGGCCCATCCCCATGCTGTGCTCAGTCTCCAGATACTCATATTTTAGGAAATATTAGGTCAACAAGGGATCCCAGGGGTTGTCTGGGCCAAGCGCTGCATTGTGAACCCAAGTGGTGCAGCTTGTCTGAGATCTACAGGCCCCCACCCCTGTCAGCCCATGATTCAGGCCACCCCACCAAGATTCCATACATGGTGCTCGAAAATAGATGGCAAAGAGTGTGTGTGTTCTCCTGCACAACAGAGCACACAGAATTTTATTCTTATGCCGGGAACTTTGTGATCACAAACAACATGCCAGGGACAACATACACAGGCTGAGTGCCCCCTAGGGTGGCAATAACAGCAGGCAGAAATAATAATAATAGCACTCAGCTCCTGAAGCTTGCTATGCGGCAGGGAAAATCCTGCACACTTCACAAGCATCATCTCATGAAGCTGCATGTCCACAGCAACCCCCATTTTACAAAGGTGGAAAGAGAAGCTCAAAGAGTTTACATAACCAACTCCAGGACACACAGACAGCAGGAGGGAAGCTGGGCTTGGGGCCAGCCTGTCTGTGCACTCACCCACAACCTCATGAATCTTGGTGGTGGGGGGAGCTCAAGGATGAAGTGGCAGCAAGCATCACTGCCTTCCCAGAATCCCCACAGCCACCCGGGGTGAGGGCACAGGTAAAGAAACTTCCAGCAACACACTCAGAGCAATAAGAAAAAGTACTGGGGAGGGGAAGGGTAGACGATTGGGAAGAGCAGGGAAGAGAGTATTCACTTATAAGTAAGTTCTTTTTATTTTATTTATTTTCATGTTTTTGGAGACAGAGTCTCACTCTGGAGTGCAGTGGTGCAATCTCGGCTCACTGTAACCTCTGCCTCTCGTGTTCAAGCCAACTCTACTGCCTCAGCCTTCCAAGTAGCTGGGATTACAGGCGTGCATCACCACCTCCAGCTAACTTTTTGTATTTTTAATAGAAATGGGGTTTCACCATGTTGCCTAGGCTGGTCTTGAACTCCTGAGCTCAGGCAATCCACCTGCCTTGGCCTCCCAAAGTGCTAGGATTACAGGTGCAAGTCACTGCGCCCAGCCTACTTATAAGCAAGTTCTAAGAGCTGTACCCTGAGCCAGGCTCATTCAGAGATAACATCCATCTGAAAAATTTCTTTCTTAGAAGAGGCCAGTGACTAGAACTGAGGAGGCCGGAGAGACATCTTGGAGGAGGAGGCTTTTGAAAAGGAAGGACAGGAGCGTCCTCATTTTCCACAGTTCAGGAACTGCATCACCTACTCTACAGGTAGAAAGTAAAAAATTCGTGTGCCGCACCCACTGCATCCTCCACACTCTCTAGAAACAGGGTCAACACAAAACTACACAGGGAGATCTACTGTTAATATCGTGCATAAAGAAGAAAACAAAGGAATTTTGCTAGGAGGCTGGCGGGTGCAGTCAGCTGAAATAAATAAATTAAAATGCGACATTGTTGTCTCTGTGTACATTTGTTTTAATTACTGTTTACTGAAAAACTAAAACTTCACATAGGGAAGAAGAAAAAAAAAGTCCCCAAACGTGCATAACCAGCGTCTGTATGACAGATCTTACTTGGGGCGGGTGGGGTGGGACTTTCGTCTTCAGCTGTCACAGCACCACCCAGCCAGGGGCACGCACACAGCAGATCAAGCATCTGGAATGGGTTTCCACATGGCTGGCAGACGCTTGGACCTAAAAGCTCATCCAGCGAGCATGAACCCGGCTACCTAGGAGGCGGCATCACACAGCAACCCAGCCTCCAAGCCCGCCCACAGGCCACATGGGATGAGCAGAATTTTCCCTGTTCCATCACAGTACACCACGTGTCCTCTATATGGTTTTCACTCCGTCTTTTATTAACGAGCCTCTTGTAGACACAAATGGCTCCCCCGCCCCCTACCTCCTTATCGCCCTGGAGTGGACCTACCTGAAGGCAAGAACCATGCCTGTGCCACCTTTCTTGGGCCTGGCCCTGAGCTCAGGCTGACCGGGAGACAAGACAGCACTCCCGGCTGCTGCATCTGTGGGGAATGGCAGAGAAGGCCTCATTCCTGGGTGGGATCTTTGGTGGCCTTGAAGGTGAGGACTCCAACCTGGGGGTCTCAAACTCAGTTCCTCAGGAGGCCTCTTGAAGAAAGACTGATATGGCATGGCCCTGCTGGGCAGGGCTCTGAGTCCCCACCACCATTCAACCAGAACGGTTCCCTTCTGGAGATTTTATATGTGGACTTCCAGCAAATTGTGTTGGAATGGAGGGTTCTGTAGCCAAGCAGACCAATGAACATCAGGAGACTAGAGCAGCCTCCTGAGGGCCTCGCTGTAGCGGCTGGGCCTCACTCCATCACCTGGGGTCCTCTCAACCTAGGACCTGCAATGGGCACACTAGGCCTGTTTAGCAAATGGACAGAGAAAACAAAACAAAACCTCTCAAGAAACAAGTATAATCTTTAAGTTTCAACACAGGGTGAGGGCCCAGTGTTTTCTCCTGACCCGATGGAGGGTGAATTACACACGATCTTCAATCCCAGGCTGAGGGGGCCACCTCTGTCCTACAGAGCATGTGGCCCTCAGACACAGTATGCAGTGGTACTGACGGGCTCTGAGCAGGGCATACAGGTATACAGTGACCTGCCCAAGGAGGCTCAGGTATCAACTCAGGACACAAAACAGACCTGGGGACCCCACCCTACGTGGCACCAGGAGGCTTTGCCCAAGTCAAGAAGAGGGGGACAGGACACTGTCTGAATTAGAAGGTGAGGTAGGAATGCCAGGGAGAGATGGGGATGGGTACAAGGCAGTTTGAGGACTGACCAGCCCGGTCTGGCTGAGGCAGACGGTAGGAGAAATGGGCAGAGCCGGAGCGCCAAAGTATTAATAGAAACCCGCCTGGATGCAGAGGGTAGGAATGCGAAGAGTCAATTAAGAAAGGGACAGGCATGCGCTGGCTAATTGCTGAAGCTGGGGGATGGGCTCATGGAGGCAGCTTATCCTACTCTTTCTACTGAGGCATACATCTGAAATCACCCATCATAAAAAGCTCAAGAAAAAATAAGAGGAACAAGGAAGGGCTGTGCGGCCCCCCAAATCTCCCCTTTTCTCATTTCAATGATTCCAGGCACATCCACAGGCCCAAATCACAGCTAAGACATCGGGGCTACAAAGATGGAACAGCTCCTCTTTCTCTGCCGGGCAGAGCACTTCTTCCCAGGGAGTATTTCTAGCTGACCTCCCCACTCCAATAGCATCAACCATCATCTATAGGCTGATGACCCCAAATCCTAACCTCCACCTTCCTGAAGCTCCAGACCACACATCTCCACCTGGGTGACCCACAGGTCCAAACCTGGACTTGCCATCTTCTCCTAAAATGTGATCAGTGTCCCAGAAAGCAGAATACAGACATGAATGGGTGAGAGAGGGGCTCTAGATTCTGACTCTGAGAAACCTGCTTTCTCTGCATAAGCCTTCTGGATAGGCATGGTGCCCAGCAAGTGCCCAGTCCAAAGAAGGGCTCAGCAAACATCAGCTGTCACCATGACTATTGTTATTTGCATTCATGTTAGTATCAACTTTCACCTCTGCAGGTTCCCCAAGGCAGAAAACTGGGAGCCATCCAAGACTCCATTGTTGCATGGCCCCTTGCACCTAGCCAGTCTCAAGTCCTGTATGTTCTACTCGCTGAGTGTCCACAGAACCATGTCAGCCTCTGCACCGCACCGCCACATGCTTCTGTCTGGCCTCACTGTGGCAGGTGACTCTGCTTCCAGGCCTGCTGTCTCTCCTCTGCTGGTCACCTCCCCTCCAGAGTGATCTCCCTAAAATGAAAAGCTTATCACATCCCTCACTGATCAAAAGGCTTTCGTGGCCCTCTGGTCCCCCAGTGAGCACCCTCTCACTGTGCTTTCCAAGGCTCAGCTCACATGTCACTTTCTGCCCCAAATCCTCCCTGATCCTAGTAAACAGGACTGACCGCTTCCACCCTGTGCCCCGCTGACCTCATACAAACTTCTACAACAATAACAGTGCTGCCCAGACTGTCATAAAACACACAATATCCAAACAAAACAAAATGTATCAGAATATCAATGTAGACTGTCAAATTTTATTTTCTCAAGTAAGGCCATTAAAAAACAAAACAAGGGCTGGGTGCAGTGGTTCACACCTGTAATCCCAGTACTTTGGGAGGCCAAAGAGGAAGGATCATTTGAGGCCAGGAGTTTGGGACCAGCCTGGGCAACAGAGTGAGACCTCGTCTCCACCAAAAAAAAAATTGAAATTAGCCACGCATGGTGGTGCACATCTGTAGTTCCAGCTACTTGGGAGGCTAAGGCGGGAGCATCACTTGAGCCTAGGAGTTAGAGCCTGCAGTAAGCTATGAAAATGCCACTGCACTCCAACCTGGAAGATGAAGCAAGACCCTGTCTCTTAAAAAAAAGAAAATAATAATGAAACAAATAAATCAATAAACAAATCCTAATGTCTGCTATCACCACAATTTCATTTTGGAAAGGACATGATAAGAAGGGAGGAGGAGGAGGGAAGGAAGGGCACCATCTCAAAGTGAGGAGTGTTCTTTAAAACAACAAAGTTAGCTCCAGTAAAAACTCATCCTTATTTTCCTCAGGGCACCATGGTCTCTTGAAGCTGTTAAGGCCAGTATGGGCCAAGGGCTGGTCATTGTGAATGTTTCCTGGTTTCTTCCCATATCCCACTGGAGGCTGCGACTTTCAGGCGGGCACTGCCAGGCTGAGCCCGGAGATGCAAGTGTGGGGTAGTGGATGTCAAGCCCCAGCTGCCTGCGACTGTCAAAGTCAAGTACAGCGCAAACAGTGTGACCACAGGGAAGACCCTTGGCTGAGTTGCTGAGTTGGTTTTAGAAAGATTTTACTTGAACAGCTCTCTCTTTTATTTTTTATTATTTTTTTGAGACAGAGTCTTACTCTGTCACGCAGGCTGGAGTGCAGTGGTCTGATGACAGCTCACTGCAGCCTCAACCTCCTGGGCTCAAGCAATCCTCCCTCCTCAGCCTCCTAAGTAGCTGGGACCACAGGCTTGCACCAACATGCTTGGTTAATTTTTTTTTTAAAATGGTTGGTGGCCAGGTGCGGTGGCTCATGCTTGTAATCCCGGTACTTTGGGAGGCCGAGGCAGGTGGATCATGAGGTCAGGAGTTTGAGTCCAGCCTGGCCAACACGGTGAAACTACGCCTCTACTAAAAATACGAAAATTAGCTGGGCGTGGTGACAGGCACCCATAATCCCAGCTACTTGGGAGGCTGAGGCAGGAGAATCACTTGAATCTGGGAGGCAGAGGTTGCAGTGAGCCGAGATTGCACCACTGTATTCCAGCCTGGGCAACAGAGCGAGACTCCATCTCAAAAAAAAAAAAAAAAAAAAAAAAATTGGTAAAGGTCTCATTACGTTGCTTAGGCTGGTCTTGAACTCCTGAGCTCAAATGATCCTCCCTCCTTGACCTCCCAAAGTGCTGGGATTACAGGTGCGAGCCACTGCACCCAGCCTACAGCTCCTCTTTCTAATATCGCTCAGGAAACACCCCCTGCAATAACGATGATCATAATAATCATAAAACAAACCTGCCCAAGCACTAGGGAACAATTTGAAATTGTTAATTGATTCGGTGGGGGAGGAAAAAACTGGAGGAAAGAGGGCGGAAATTCTCACGGAGAGCTCGGTTTCTTTTTTTAGCAAACTACCTCATACGTGCCACAGTCTTCCCTGAAACACCCAAGCGTTCACTGAATTCCACAACGTGGGGCCATAGTCTGTAGTGGAGAGTTCAGTACGCTACAGTCAGAAGCAGACATGGCCTGGGTTCAGCTGTGTGGCCTCAGGCAAGTCACTTTGCTTCTCTGGGCCTTCCAATCCTATCTACAAAGCGTAGTGATTCCTTATCGAGCTGTAGGGAAGGCCGGAGACACAGGAAAACACAGGCTCCGGAAACACGAGGACGTGGCCACCCCAAGGGACTGCTGCTAGTATTCTTGTTGCTGCTAAGAAGACTGAATGCTCAGCAAGTCTGGACTAAGAGAGAAATGGGTTTCATGTCAATAAATACGCCCACTCTCTCTGCCCTGTCTCCTACAGAGCACCTCATTTCATTTGCCAAGGCATTCCCTGTTTCAGAAAGATAAACAAGATCCCTGAAGGCTGGAAATCATTCTTCCAGCAACTTCCTCATTGCCCGCTGCAACTAAGATCTGGGTGGATATTCTCAGGCAAAGGATTTGGTCTGGAACTTTTCCACTGTGTTTCCTCAATGGCCAAGGTTCATTCATGCTAGAGAGAGGAGGAATTTAATATCGCTAATTACTTTTTAGGGAGCAGTTTCATCCTGGAAATTTTGAAATTGATTTCTTATCCAGTTTCCCCTTGGTTGATATTATTCTTTCAAGATCCTTACTGAGCCTTCCAACAACACTTTTTTAATTCCCCTTCATGTTCCAGCTCTACGTTTGCTTTTTTTGTCCTCCTTCAAGGGCAAGGATCGCCTCTCTGATTTTTGCCTCCCACCCTGGGCCTGGCCCATGAGTGAGCCTCCACCGGTGCACTAGAAACAAAGACACAAAGATGTGATTTTCCCTAAGCATGCTTTCTGCAACTGCAGCTCAGAAATCTCACATGGTTCAAGATAAGAAACTGGCCCAAAGCTGATTAATTTTGCAAAACAGACCTTCCAGGGTAGCACACAAGATCTTCAGAAAGAATATTCTGGTTTTTGCTTCCCACTGAGAGCTTCAGGGACCATAATTAGAGCAGCATGGAGCAACAGACTCCGCTCTGGTTCACTAAACCCCAAGAACCTTCCTCCCAACACGGACAAAAATAACGTCTCGTTGCATCTGAAAATATCACCTAGAATTCAGATGTGTGCTCTCTCATTGTGTTCTGTGCATTTTTAAGCAGTTCTGTTTGGCTGGGTTTTGACAGCTGGAAGCTGAGGCTTGGAGACCCGCCCGGGCGCAGGGTGGTGCTTTTCAAAGATGTAGACCACTGCATCAGAACTACCCGGGGGCTTGTTAAAATGCCACTTCCCAAGCGCTATTCCAGACCTACCAAATCGGATTCTCTAGGGCTGCTCCATTTTTAATACACATCCCTGATGATCCGGGTACACACTAAAGTTTGAGATGCCAGCTCATTTTCCTGCCAAGGAGCTTTGCTTATTCCCCCACCCAACCTCCTACACACATCCATTTCATCGGCTTTATTGAGCAACAGTTTCTGCAGGACAGGACATCCATGCAGCTCTATGGAGTCACAGACTGCAGGTTCACCAAAGTTCTCAGTGTCTTGGTCTCTGCTCCAACATCGCCCTCACCCTTCCTAAAATAGCCACCCTTTGGGCTCCTAATGTTTGCTTTTGTTCCAGAAGATTGTGTTGTCATGCTTTTCCTTTCTACCCACAACATGGAGAAGGCTGGGCAGCATAGGGCCTCAGAAATTGCTTACTGATTGACCAACACCTGCATGAATTGGAACACTCACTGGAAGATTGGTCCTTACATATGCATTCGTTTTTAATGCTGGCTGGATGCTCATACTAACAGCGACAACAATGGTAATCATAATAATCATAATGCTGGTGATAAAGATCTTTATGTAAGGCCCTTTCCAGGTTACAAAGACATGTCACACATTTTCCCCTTGACAGTCAGTCATCTGTAATACTCAAAACAAACGTTATCACACCCACTTTACAAATGGCAAACTGAGGCTCGGAGACATTAAGTGGCTTTCCTGAGGACTCACAACTAGTTGCTTGCGGGGCTGTTACTCCAATGTAGACCTCTCAGCTCCCAGGGGTCAATCATTCTTTCCCTGATCCAGTAAATAATGACTGAGCCCCCACGATATGCCATTCACCACACCAGAGCTAAGGACTAAGAGCCAAGGCTGACGAGGTCCCTGTCTTCCTGGTCTCCCAGCCAGATCATCCCTAATGACATGGAAGCTGTCATCAGCCAGGAGACAAGATATGTAAATGGCAAGGCAACAAGGCATAACAGAACAAGGCAGGGCGTGCCCATGAGACGAAACCAGGGCAGCAGTGCCCCTCTCCTTCTGTTGAGGCCTCCAGAGGGATGTGCAGTGCAACAACGGAGCAGCCAGGCCACCATCCCCAGGTCAGGTTTCCAACTGCACCTGCCCTGCCAGTCTCAGGTGCTGTGAGCCACAGAACTTGGAGGCAACAAGGGGAGCACCGCTGTCAGCATGAACAGGGGGATTTTTCAGAAAGGGTAGAGCAAGGTGGCCTTGGTACAAGCTGCCATTCCCCAGGATGGTGCTGCAGATCTGCAGTGGGCCACTCGCCACCCTGAGGCTAAGCTTACATCTGCATCTTGGGCTATGGACTCTCACCTGCCTTATGGAGCTACTGTGATGCCCACATGAACGTGATGGGGAAACCCACAAGCCCAGCCTGAGGTCAGCAATCACCATGATTCCTCAGGGCCCACTTCCTTTTCTTAATGGATCTTCTAAGGGTCTAGAGACTGTTGCTGCCATTTGGGGCTATGGCAAGGAGTGCCTCTAGGATGCCCTGCTACCTTCACATCTTTCTTTAACTGAGGCTTCAAACCGTGTGACACAAGCAGACTAGCCATGAGACCCCAGCACATCACTTAACCTCATAGCATCCTATTTCTTCACCTGTAATTCGGGATAATGGAACTGTTCTCCTCGAGTTCATGTGAGGATTTAAAGGGTAAATACATACAAACTGCTTGGAATAATGCCTGGCACATCAGAAGCACTATGGTGTCTACTATCTTTTTTTTTTTGATATGGCGTCTCACTCTCTTGTCCAGGCTGGAGTGCAATGGCACAATCTTGGCTCACCGCAACCTCTGCCTCCCAGGTTCAAGCGATTCTCCTGCCTCAGTCTCCCAAGTAGCTGGGATTACAGGCATGTGCCAACACGCCTGGCTAATTTTGTATTTTTAGTAGAGACAGGGTTTCTCCATGTTGGTCAGGCTGGTCTCGAACTCCCGACCTCAGGTGATCCGCCCAGTTCGGCCCCCCAAAGTGCTGGGATTACAGGCATGAGCCACCGTGCCCGGCCTATTATCTTTTTCTTATTATCACTTTCCTTTTTTTAAAAAAAAAGTCCAAACAGTGCGAGATCCGCTGCTGCTGAGGAGGGAAGCATCAACAGCAGCACCATGAGAGGTCCGATTGATCCACATGAATTCCTCGGGGTTCAGACTTAAGGCTCATCTTCTTCCTGCTCGCCTGCAGCTCCACTGGCAACCAAACCGCCACTAGCCTCATGTCGCTTCGGTATCTCAACAGAAGAACCTTGAAGGCTATGTGGGATTTGCCAATCTCCCAAATCAAGTATACAGAAAATCAGTTAAGACATCTGGTTTTGAATTCACGCTATGGTAGTGGGTGGAACAATCCAAAGTTTTAATCAAAGAAAGTGGTGTTCAGTTGCTGCTCACAATAGTTGATACCCCAGGATTTGGAGATGCAGTGAGAATAGTAATTGCTGGCAGCCTTACAATCAGCTACATTAATAGTAAATTTGAGGACTACCTAAATGCAGAATCTCGAGTGAATAGACGTCAGATGCCTGATAACAGGGTGCAGTGTTGTTTATACTTCATTGCTCCTTCAGGACATGGACTTAAACCATTGAATATTGAGTTTATGAAGCATTTGCACGAAAGAGTATCATCTCACTTATTGCCAAAGCAGACACACTCACACCAGAGGAATGCTAACAGTTTAAAAACAGATAATGAAAGAAATCCAAGAACATAAAATTAAAATACATGAATTTCTAGAAACAGATAATAAAGAAGAAAATAAACTTGTTAAAAAGATAAAGGACCATTTACCTGTTGTTGCTGTGGTAGGTAGTAATACTATCACTGAAGTTAATGGCAAAACAATCAGAGGAAGGCAGTATCCTTGGGGTATTGCTAAAGTTGAAAATGGTGAACATTGTGATTTTACAATTCTAAGAAATATGTTGATAAGAACACACATGCAGGACTTGAAAGATGTTACTAATAATGTCCACTATGAGAACTGCAGAAGCAAAAAACTAGCAGCTGTGACTTATAATGGAATTGATAACAACAAGAAAAAAGGGCAGCTGACTAAGAGCCCTCCGGCACAAATGGAAGAAGAAAGAAGGGAGCATGTAGCTAAAATGAAGAAGATGGAGCTGGAGATGGAGCAGATGTTTGAGATGAAGGTCAAAGAAAAAGTTCAAAATTGAAGCACTCTGAAGTTGAGCTCCAGCGGCACCATGAGCAAATGAAAAATAATTTGGAAGCACAGCATAAAGAATTAGAGGAAAAACGTCGTCAGAGGACGAGAAAGCAAACCGGGAAGCTCAACAACGTATTTTAGAACAACAGAACTCTTCGAGAACCTTGGAAAAGAACAAGAAGAAAGGAAGATCTTTTAAACTCTCTGTTGACCACCAGTTACGTATTAGCTGCCAATATGCCAGCTTGGACATCAGTGTTTGTTGGATCCGTTTGACCAATTTGCGCGTTTTATCTAGAATGATGGATTTAACAGCATGACAAACATTATTTTTGTTGTTGTTGTTCTTGATGGAGATTAAGATGCCTTCAATTGTCTATAGGGTGTTGTGTGCTTAGTAACAGCTCTACCTTTCTTACTTTTTCTTTTTCTATTAAACAGATTATCTTCAGTTGAATGCAAGAGAACATTTTACTGTTGTACAATCATGTTCTGACGGTTTGATTGTTTACAGGATATTCCAAAATAAAAGGACTCTGGAAGGTTTTCATTGAGGACAAAAGGCCATAATATGATGCAAACTATGCTTCTCTATGATAATTATAATACAAAGGTTCCATTCAGTGCAGCATATACAATGTAATTTAGTATAACACAGTTGACCCATGTTTTGACACTTCCATTGTTTAAAAATACACATGGAAAAAAAAACCCTACGTGCTTATAGTGCACCCAGAGCTTTTTTATAACACCCTCTTTTTGTTTGTTTTGGATTCTTTAAATATATATTATTCTCATTTAGTGCCCTCTTTAGCCGGAATCTCATTACTACTTCATTTTTGTAAAAACATTTAATTTAGATAGTGTCCATATATTGGCCCTGCTAAAATAGAATATAGCATCTTTCATATGGTAGGAGCCAACAAGGAAACTTTAACTCCTTTTTACACTTTATGGTAAGTAGCAGGAGGAAAATGCATGTATAGATCATTTCCAGGCAAAATTGTGAAGCTAATGACCAACCTGTTTCTACCTATATGCAGTCTCTTAATTTACTAGAAATGGGAATCACAGCCTCTTGAAGAGAAAAAAGTCACCATTCTGCATTTAGCTGTATTCATATATTGCATTTCTGTATTTTTTGTTGGTATTGTAAAAAATTCACATAATAAATGATGTTGTGATGTTAAAAAAAAAAAAGTACAAACAACATGCATCAGTGAAGAATCTCTGCAATTGACACAGAATCATTTCTTATAAAACCATTGCTCCATCGCTTAGAGACTGGCATCTCAGACAGCCTGAATTCTGCCCCCACTCCCATCCAGCTCCTCCGTCACCCACCTCAGGTGCCCTACATCACAGTCATCTTGCAGCTGGCATTTCCCAAGCAGAATTTATCTTTTCCCACTTCTGTGCCTTTGCTCCTCACCTCCCCCCAGTTTCTTGCACCTCAAATGCCCTTTCCCTTCCACCTATGAAATCCAAAGCATGCCCATATTTCAAGTGAATGTCGGGGAGGAGTGGGAATGGTCTCCTGACATTTCATTGGGTGATTTTTCCACATAACAGAGCACCTAACCCCTCCCAGCTATAACCCATCTGGGAGGGCTGAGCCCTAAGCCCTAAGCAATGAGTGGCAAGACTGGTTGAAGGGCAGGGCTCCAAGGTGGGTTTCTGGCAGTGAGCAGGGCATGGTTCAGGGGAGATGGTGCTAAGGGCCTCCAGCTTTTGGCCCCCTCAGAAGGGTGGGGCTGCTGGGAGTGGCCTGGGGCAGAGCTGGGCTCCAGGGTCCCTGGGTGCCAGTGACACAGCCCTTACATCCTCAAAGTCATTGTGATGCCCCGTCTGCTACCCTAATCAGTTTGTGCAGACACTGAGGGCTCCAAACCCAGGCTCAGGGCCAGGACGCTGGGCAGTGGTGCCAGTGGTTCTGAAGAGGGCTTGCCATAGCAGCACTGGGAGGCTGTTTCCGCAAGCCAAAAGGGCAGAGGGGCCATGGCCAAGGTCAGAAACCCAGACACGGAGGCTGCACTTGGCAATGAAGGGGACATAGAAGCATGTGGATGTCAGGGGCTGTGGCTCACCATGCCCCAAACCAAACTCCTGTCCTCCCTGTGCCCCTCTCCCAGATGCCTCATGTCAGTGAACAGCACCCATCCTCCATCCACCCGGCCTAGGAAGGCAGTGCAGCCTGCCAAGGGCTCCAGAGCCTGCTGCCTGGACCCAACTCCCACTTGGTGGCTTGACAGCGGGCCCATTTAACCTCTCTGAGCCTCAGTTTCCTGCCTATAGAGAGAGGATGACAATAGTGCCTATCTCATGGGGTTTAAAATGAGTCAACCCGTCTGGAGCAGTCAGGACACAGAGCCTGGCCCACAGCCTGCACTACGTGAGGGCTCACTTCTATAGTCAGGTCCTTAGCACCGTCCTGGCTGAGAGGCAGCCTGCAAAAATATGCATCCGTGCCCTAACTCCTGGAACTGTGAATGCTGCCTTATATGGTAAAACAGGGAATATTACCTTACATGGCAAAAACGTGATTTAGTGAAGGCTTTTGAGAGGAGGAGCTTATCCTGTAATATCCAGGTAGGCTATAAATCTCGTGAGTGAGGCAGAAATAGACTTAGACTAGACAGGCAGGAGACAGGAGACAATGTGACCAGGGAGGCAGAGATTGGAACCACACAGACCCGAGTCAGGGAACGCCAACAGTGACCAAAAGCAGGGAGAGGCACAGAAGGACTGGTTTTCCCCCAGGGGCTCCAGAGAGAGCCGGCCCGGCCAAGGCTTGATTTCAGACTTCTGGCCTCCAGGACTGTGACAGAAAAAAAGTGTGCTCTTTTCAGCCACCCTGTTTGTGGCAATTTGTTCTGGCAGCCACAGGAAGCAAAGACAAGGTGCCTCCTTAATCCCAGTTACTCTGGAAACTGAGGCAGGAGAATTGCTTGAGCCCGGGAGGCAAAGGTTGCAGTGAGCAGAGATTGCACCATTGCACTCTAGCCTGGGTGAAAGAATGAGACTCTGTCTCAAAAACAAACAAACAACAACAACAACAAAAACAAGGTGCCTCCTTGACATCACTCTCCCCACCTTCCACTGCTTTCTCAAGTCTCCCTCTGTCCAGGGAGGTCATTCCTCCCTGCTGCCTACAGAACCACCATCCTGTCCTCTCCCAACTGGGCTACTTCCACCCAACAATGGGCTCCTCAGCCCCCAACACCAGCCTGAGATAAAGACTGGGATAAAGATCAATGCCGCTACCCTGCCTCCCGCCCTGTAAGGCCCTGCGTGGCATGGCCACCGCCACTTCCACTGCCTACCTTGTCCCTAGGTCACCCTGGTGTCTTAGGCTTCAGTCACAGTCCCTTGTAGTTGCCATGTCTCCTTCAGCCATGGAGCCACCACACTTACTGTCACCCCATCCCATTCCTGCCCTATGTATTTCCTACTTGAGCTTCTCCAACAACGAAAACTGCTATGGATTCCTTCATCACATCCCAAGTGCACCCGAGGATTGAATGAATGAATGAATGAATGAATGAATGAATGAATGAAATTGGAAGATTCATATATCCCAGGCATAGCTAATTGGACAAGGTATGTAAACCCAAGCCATAGGCTAGCTGCTGACCTGTAACCTTGCAGGCCCCGGAAAAATGAGCTGGCAAAGCAGAGATTTTTCTCTTTTGAGAATCTGGATTTGGAAATGTTAAGAAAATGAGAAAGTGCTCTTCAGAGCACACACCACTTTCTTAGAAAAGCCTCCCCAATTCTGGGTAGGTTCCCCAGTCACGCACACTCCCACCACCATGTACCTTGCCCTCGTGGCTGTGGTCACACTACATCTGCCTGCCTCACTAGACCCCATGTTCCATGGCAGCCTTGTTCAGCACTGCTTCCCTGGTGCACCCAAGGAGTGAATGAATGAATGGCAATTGACCGAGGAGCCATGTGAGTTCCTCTCACAACATAGCTGGAGGCTACACCAGGAGAATGATTCATTCCAGAATCCAGGAGGTGGAGAACAGGCCTGCTCAGTTCCTGGCTGGTCTATCCAAACCCATCTTCGAGGCTCTATCTGGGCCCCGCCCAGGAAGAGAGAAGGGACCACCTGCAGAGTGTCCCTAAAGTCAGCCAGTCTGGAGAGCGGACAGCCAATTATATCCCATGAGTTTTGGCTGCAGAGCCTGTAGCTGTTCAGCCAGTAGAAGGGCCCCCTCAGGCCCAGCGTGGCCTGCACAGCTCTGATGGGCTCTCAGCGGCAGAAAGCACAGATGCGGTGTGTTTGGTTCCAGAGGAAAGGACCAGAACTAGGATACGGGGGCTGGGGCAGAAAACTACAGGGAGGCAGGCACCAGATGGAGAATAATGACATTTTTTTCAAAGCCAGGCCTATGCTTGGATGCAACAGAAAGGTGGCCGGTCAGCCAGTTCTGGAGCTGTCCAGGTGTTAGATGCCCACCTGTGTGACACACTTAGGAGGGATTCAAGCACTAGAGGGCCCCCTCTAACCCAGAGAGTCTGCGCTTTTGTTCTCACTATCACAGTTATATACATTCTAATGTGCTGTCACAGCCTCATCTGTTTCCTGGAGAATGTGACAAGCACTGTTTTATGAAGAAAGTAAACAAAAGAATCCCAGCCAAGGTGGTATCGCAAATTAAATTCACATTTTGAGGTCTCCTCCTCCTTGCTGTAACAAACACACAGCAATGATAGCTGAAATACAAAAATAGAAAATTTGAAGACATAGCATTACTCAAAAATAAAATTCTCAAGGGGGGAAAGAAAAAACCACAACATGGTGAGTGGAGATGAGGCTGCAGGCTTGATGGGCTCTGAGTGCAATACAGAGAGAAGTGCCTGGCATTGACAATTCTCTGGGGTAACAGAGACTCATAGCACCCCCAAGTAAAGGCGGGGGCCAGAGCCACAATCAATGCAAAAGAGAACTAGAGTCAAGCTCACTATATGAAGCAAAGGGTTGGAGCACAGCCAGTAGAGAAGGGCTTCCTCTGCCCTAGAGGAAAGCTGGGACGAAGTTCTACCAACTGCTACCTGCTGCCTCAGCCCACAGGAAGCTGCACGCTCTGGATGGCAGGACAAGGTGGAAAACAGTGACAGATGGAATGCAAATATGGCCAGTTACTCACCCCTTCCTATACCCATGGCCTTTGGAATGACTTCGAATCTCCTACCATCAAAAGTCGAGTTTGCACCCACGACCAGTTTATGCCTATAATTCCAACACCTTGGGAGGCCAAGGTGGGAGGATTGCTTGAAGCCATAAGTTTGAGACCAGCCTGGGCAACATGATGAGACCCAATCTCTATAAACAGTTTAAAAAATTAGCCAGGCATGGTGGTACACACCTGTAGTCCCAGCTCATCAGGAGGCTGAGGCACAAGAATTGCTTGAGCCCAGTAGATTGAGGTTACAGTGAGCCATGATTGTACCACTGCACTCCAGCCTCGGTGACGGAGAAAGACCCTGTCTCAGGGGGTAAAAAAAAAGCTGGAGGTGGGTAGAGTCTACTTTCCCACCTTT